GATATGACTGGGTTCTCCTGTTTGTGTGGCATGATGCAGACTCCTGTTGCCAGACATAGGGTCGTCCAGCAGTGATATGCTTTAGATTCGTCTGAAGCGATATGCTTTATTCTCCAGATCTAAACTTGTTTCGCTCTATGGAACATTCCATATTTGTTCAGTGTTTCCAACAAGTACAAATTATCGAAAAATGCGCGGTGGATATGTCGAATTAAAAGTAGAATTCTTCTTTTTTGATAGAATACACAGTTGTAACCGAAACGACGTAAGGTGACAAAAGACCTTGTAGAGAATACTTTGAAAACTAGATAATAATACTATGCTTTTTATATGAAAGATTTGTTGGGCACTTCGAGGCAGTGTAATGGTTAGCAAGCTTGTCTCGCTAGAACAATTACGACTGAGTAGTGAGTTCGATCCTCACTGGGTGTCCCATACTTTCGGCCTTATGCTATATCTGAGCTAAGCTTAGAAAATCAATAGGCACCTCGAGGTGGTGTAATGGTTAGCAAGCTTGTCTCGCTAGAACAATTACGACTGAGTAGTGAGTCCGATCCTCACTGGGTACACCATACTTTCGGCGCTTCGAAAATCTCTATAAGTGGACACTGGGGCGCCTCGAGGCGGTGTAATGATTAACAAGCTTGTCTCGCTAAATCAATTACGACTGAATAGTGAGTTCTATCCTCATTGGGTGTCCCATACTTTCGTCCTTGTGTCACATCTGAGTTACGCTTGGAAAATCACTATATGAAAGATTTGTTTTATAAAAAAGGCTGGGAACTTTAGCTTCTTTTCAAATATATAACACCATTTGAGTGTAATGGTTAGCAAGCTTGTCTCGCTAGAACTATTACGACTAAATAGTGATTTCGATCCTCACTGGGTACCCCATACTTTCGGCCTTGTGCTACATCTCAGCTACGCTTGGAAAATCATTATATCACTTGCCATTACGTTGTTTCAGTATAAAATTTTGAGAACTATTTTGCTCGAAACATCACTTTTATAATGCTACCATAAAGTTGTCAGCCATATTATTTTATTAGTCTTGTATCTCTTATTCTAAATAGTGTAATCTCCCGATGAAAAAGAAAACACTTTTGCGTGCGTGATGTCACGATTTTCAACGAACTAAAGAAAAAAATGAATAAAAATTAAAACCTGCAAATGATTCGAGCTTCTGTTACTTCCGTTATGCGTTTTTTTATATTCATGTTTAATTCGCATTTAATGACTTTAAAAATGAACTTTACATCACGTCATACATTCTTCTGAGCTATTCACGAATGGTAGTTAGTGATTTTAATTCTTCGTTACAAAGTCGAAAGGAATACCTTCTCAAATCCCATACCTACAAAATCATCTTTGTGGTATAACTAAATAAAGATAAGCCGACATGTATTTGTGTCTAAATCGAAAATTTAATCTAAGAACGTGGGGTAAGTAATTAAGGCACCGCCTATGTGTGGATAACAATTCCGTTGCACTTAGATGTATGTATGTTATCAGAGCAGTCATTAATATAGAAGATAAGGAAAAGTTCCAAAAATTTAGCATAGGAGATAAGGAAATTGAACATAGAATAGGTTGTGCTAGAGATAGTTTTGCCCAAGACCGCACGCTTCTACAAAACGAAAACATTGACTCAAAAATGGAGTCATGTTCTTTAATAGTCTCGTCAGTTCGAGATTTTCATATGGATGTCATGCATGGCGCCAAAGCCGTTCAGAAATATCTAAACTGTCAGCTCTATACAAGCGCTTTCTGTAGGAGTCGGTGAGGACCATCCTTCATCGAAGTTTGTGGAGTGGCGCTATATAATCACAAACAAATATTTTTACGAGATAACAGAAACACATCAATTGAAGACTTTCAGCAGCAGCAAATATTAAAATGGATAGCATATCTAATACTTAGAGAAAACAATGAGATAGTCAAGATACTACTTGTTGTGGTGTCCTCCCTCTAAAGAGTCTATGTTGGACTCTTCCGCCTACTATAACATTAGTAGGAGAGAAGGCCTTGGGAGAACAGTCGAATAGCTTGAACGCTGGGTCAACCGACACACACTCACTAGTCGTGTAATAATCTCCTGTTGTACTTACTTTTTAATATATGATAATTCTGCAACACTCGTTTTGTTATTTCTTCAACTTGATCACAACACTACTCTTCACCCAGCAAAAGACAAGGACGGAAAGAGCATTAATAGCTACTGAAAAATTATTTTAAGAGAATGATTTTATAAATTTCAACCGACATCAACACTAATTTCTCGGTTAATAAATACCGAATGTTTCCTTATAAGGAAATGGTAAGGGAACAGATACTACACTTTGATCCTAACACGATGACCAAGAAATGAAGAAAAGCGTAATTTATGTAGCACTGGCTGTTTGGTCAATGAATGCTGAATGTTTCCTTATAAGGAAACGGATAAGATTACCATTCCCATTACTATTAGTCATAACTTCTTATTTATGTATATAAATCGAAAAATAAAAACGAATACCTTGTAAAATACCGCTGTGATAAATGCAAATATATATTATTATGTCCCACTGACCAGTAATATATAATCGAGCCAAACCACAACACGCATATCCTGAAGATTGTGTTCAAGCATGAAAAAGACTGTCGCCGCTCAGTGATAACCTCAGTGTTCAGTTTTATATTTTATAGTTACATACGATCTATCTCTGATATTGAGCACGTTTAAATAAATATAAAATACCTTAAATTCTATATTTTTATCATATATATATATATATATATGTATGTGTGTGTGTGTAAGACGAGAAAGTTAGAATGTCTGAACCCTTTAAGGATTTCATTTTATCATCTTGTCGGATTTCTATCCATATCTGATCTACACTTGATATTCAAACCATATATATATATAGATATGAATAGGAATCCAACAAGATGATAAAATGAAATCCTAAAAGTGTTAAGACATTCTAACTTACTCGTCTTACATCGAAACGACATGGGACATAACTTTGAGTTCACTAATGCCAGCCTAATTAAAAAAAAACAAACATAATCCTTCAATGAGAAAATATTTTAAAAATATATTTATAGCAATACTACCAATTATAAACACTCGTTTAAAACATTACATCATATCACCATTTTTCTCCAGATCCATTATTCATGAATCTAACATGTCTAAAATAATGATGATTTTACAAATGTCCCTTTTTACAAAATTACGCATGTTAAATCTTTACCAAAACTAGATTATTGCAATATTTTACCTCGTTTCATCAACCCATACAGAGTTGACGACCACAGACTTTCCCTACACACTCATACAAGAGAATATAAAAATCGAACCAAATACAAAATTATTTTGCAGCATATCGCTACATTTCACCGACAAAATACGAGGGTGACATCTGTAGACTTCCCTCAGACACACTTATACACTTACATACACCTACACACACAAGCATTTCTTTACTTCCACACTCTTACACTATCACACATTTTAACATCCCAAATGTTTTTCACACATATTTATATATTATCTCTTGCGTTTATACACGTGACGCGTGTCCGACCAATGAGAACTACCAAAAATCATAACATTCCAGTAGTCTGTCTCTTTGCTTTTTTCATTTCTATTCTAGATCTCTGACGAAGCTCTAGTAAAGGTGAAACATTTTAGATTGAGATTCGTTTCCGACTTCGTTCTTTATTTTATTTTTATCATTCATATATATATATATATATATATATATATATATATATATATATATATATATATATATATATATATATGGACTGAAGATTGCGTTCAAGCATGAAACAGTCTGTCTCCTCTATGTGTTGATCTCAGCGTTCACTTTTACACACACACATTTCTAATTACTTGCATTTCTTGCATCACGTTTTCTACAGATGAAACATTGAAAATATGGGAATCATTTCGACGCTTAATTATCGAATTTTGTAACAAAGGAGAGGGGAAGTTACCAAAATCCCCGTTTCGAAATGTCAAAATAATTGCATGTAACAAATCGTCTAAAGGTTTTATGTATTCATATAGATTAACAATATCGTGTCTGATGTTGTCAATAAAATAAAGCATTTAAGAATTTATGACCTTTCACAACCCACATTGTATAAGTATCTATGAAATAAACCAGAATTATCACCTGTGGACATTTTGAATCTTCTGCAAAAATTATGGGTCAGCTTCATGAGTTATTTTCTTTCGGAGCAGAAATTAACAATGGAATATCAGAATAGAACTCAGAATTCAAGAATAGAAAATCGAACACTAATATTACGTTGCTGTCACTGAAAAATAAGAAAAAAATCGGAAAAGATCAAAATAAAAAAGAATGGCTGTTTTTAATTTGATTGTCTTTCCAAAATCAAATCAGGGACAAAACGAAATTTGCGTGGATTTCGTCGTTAGTTGCGGGAGTATTCTGATCGAGTGTTTAGATGGAAAACGCATGTCCCCTGGTATTCTTTTATTCCAGAACCAAAATGGGTGACTCGGAATGTGAGTCCGAGTAATAAATGATAAAAGTAACAACAAAACTGTATATATAAACAAACGATAAGTATGTATTAGCAAAACAAAGATATGCATAGACAATAGAAAATTGATGCGTGTTACAAAACAATGACCATGAACGAAGAAAACATTTAAACTAGTGAAGGTGTTTGTGTAGAAGTAAGTGTAACAAGTGTGTGTGATAGACACATGTGTATATATGCATGTGTATGAGAAAGTTCAAAAGTCAATAGAGAATCTACGTGAGACTACATCTTACCGTCCCTGGATGAAATAGAAAAAAAGAGAGCGACACAATGTCCTTCCCTATTTATAGGGAGATGAGGAGAGAATAGGTGGGTTCATGCCTTTCCCAAGGGTATTTACGCGTAAATGAATATAACGAAATCGACTCTAGTTCGAGTGCGGCTTTCTGATTTCCAATTCCGAGCCATTATCATTTACACTACTCACGCATCCAAGTTTACAGCACCTGGTATCCCCAAGCGGTCACCTATCTAGGTACTGACCCTACTCGACGTTGCTTAACTACGGTGATCGTACGAGAACTGGTATTTCAACGTGATATGGCCATAAGGCAAGCAATGGAAGAAATTAAAGAAATATTTGGACACTGGGCATTACTTACCTATATTTATCCACTCGTAAAAATAAGAAAAGTTTTTTTTTTTTCTGGGGATATTTTTTTATATACATTGGGCTTTCTTCAAGCCACGGCATTTGACAGAATCTAAAAACATTGAGTTTTTATCGATTTAGAAGGGGGTCTTGTTCATAATATAATTAGAGTGTAAAGTCGATTCCTATTTGAGTAGTCCTTTTTTTAAACATTGTGAATTTCATCTACCGATCCGGGCATTCGAGAGTCTAATAAGTTTTCCCCAATTTGAGGCTTAAATTTATACATTATTGGTGGGCAAATTTTCTTTATTAAGACTCTGGAACTTTTTTATAATTAGAGAGTAAAATCGATTCTTGTTTGAGAAGAAGTCTTTTTGTAAAAAAAACTTTTTCAGGTTATTTAAAGGCAGAAAATATTTTGGAATTGTTAGAATTTACTAAAGATAATAATAATTTACTGATAGAAAGAAAACGCAAGTTTTACTTGAATCTTCTTGATTCTATATACAATGTCCTTTTTGTTTCCATTTTCTCTAAAACTTCGTCATTGCTCACATGTTCGGTCCATGGTATTCTCAGCATTCTTCTGTAGAACTACATTTCTGTTGCTTCAAGTTTTCTTCGACTGTGACATTGTCCAGCATTTACTGACAGCTGTTACTTTTATATTTTCTTGTTATACACTGCTGCACATCCTGTTTCATTTTTATATTTTGATCCATCCGTGAAGATGTAGGAATGTCTGCGATAATTGTTTTTGATTTTTTTCTAATTCCTCTTAGAATATAAGTGGATGTGTATTTGTTTTACATTTATTTCCGGTATTCTTATGGTCCAAGGTCGTATATTTGGTATGATTGTATTATGATTTCAAGATGGAGTCACTTCTGCTTCTTGAATGATCGGTCCCACCCGGAGTTCAAATGTTTGCTTTATCTTTTTGAGGTTTCTGTATTTTGGATCGAATATCATATAATATGCAGGATTAGAGTTAGTTTTATATAATATTGTAGGGCTAGTCTGTACCATCTATGGTTTGGTGGGGTTCATTTGCTTCTACAAGCAAACTTTCTACGTATCTTCTAAATGTCCCAAGCGACAATCTCAAATCTTCATGGAAGTTTGGGTTAAGTATTTCTAAGATTTTGATTTCCTGGCTTTTTTAGTAAAGTTTCTATAGTTTAGCTTGGATTGGATTAATGTTCTGTATAATTTGAGCAGCGTTTGCCAGTCTGCTCCCCAATTTTTTTTAGCCACCACTCGTAAGAGTTGTAATGTTTTCAGCTATTTTAGGTGTGGTATGTACGTTAGTTTCTTGTCGAGAATTATTTCCAAATCCTTGTACTAGTCTACCACTAGGATTTCTATACCTTTGAGTTCTAATCTTGGATCACTATGCAGTTTATTTTTAATACTAGCTTAAAAGCTGCCCCATCATGCGGCATTTAAGTCAGTTCCTGCGGATGGCTCTTGATTGGGCCTTCGGCTTGTTCAGGAGTTTGAAAGTCCCTAAGTCTTTGCATATTCTCAACACTGTAAGCTCTACTGGCTGCCGTTTGATCTGGGTTTTCATTTGCACGGGACTTTCTTTTCCTCTCTGCAGCCTTGGCTCTTTTGATTGCAATCTGGTCCTCTGTTGGTAGAGATTTCTTTTTGTTAGACATACTGCTACCTTATGTGATAGGCAACAATAAACTATAGAAGAACTCAAAATTGATCGCTGCATTTAAGTATTGAATTAATATTTAAGCTTACCTTTTAAAATTCTTTTGCCGCCATTTAATTTAAAGACAATTTGTTGTGCGTAGGTCCTTACTTTCCGTACAAACAATTTTTTTTTATTTCATGAGTGACTTTCGCTGGAGTTTTCAATGCGATTGTATTGTTGATAATTTCTAATACTAAAGTTTTTTATGTTTCTTAGATATAAATAACAGCATGATCCAATGTTTTTATTAGAGTGTGTAATCCGTTGTCATTTGGCTTTAGCCTATAACATTATCATTGGATTATTCTATATCACATCTTTGTATTTTTATTTGAGATTTATGCTTTTTAGTGTTTTGATTTTTGTTTAGAATTTTTTGATCTGTAGGACCTCAAATTTTTTTTTTTTTTTTTTTGGTGGGTGGGTCTCTAGGACCTCAAATTTATTTTTCGTTGGTGTCATAGGTGTTTTTGTTTTGTTGGTTGTTCATGTTTTTTGGGTTTGTTTTTTTTTTTACTTTTCAAGGGTATATGTTTTGAGAGATGGTGGACAGATTGGTGATCTTTAAGATTTTTTAATGGGATTTGCTTCAGATGGAGTCTTTGAGTTTTGTATAGGTCGTACTTAAACTGTAGTATGTGGGTTTCATGTGTTTTTATTTATTTATTTGTTAAATAATAGTTTAGCAAACTATTATTTTAGGGGGAAGTGTATCGCTCAGACTTTCTGAGGTTGACCTTTGAGGTCAGATGGAAGACAAAACAAGGAAGTCGATTTTGATTGGCTGAGCCAGCGCAAGAACGATAGATAGAGAAAGGGTTTTCACAAAGTCGAGCCTTAACCGTCGAACAATATAGATGTGTTTTCTTTCGTGTCTGAAACGGCTCCCCAGTGGAGGAAGAGCTAACCCACTGGATAGGTAGAAATGTAGACGTCGACGTGATTAATAAAATAATTAAGTAAAATTCCCTGTGTTGAAATTCTATTGTCTCTGAACTCAAAACAACTGGTGATCACCGACCGAGCGAGAAGAATGCAACTTTATTATCGAATTGACACCGTTTCCCAAGACCACCTCCACTAGTGAGCTATGCAACATATTTAGTAATTCTATTTGGTCGCTTTCAGCCGTGTATGTTATTGTTAGTTGTTCTTGGAATTTTGTCCAGTGGTTTGGTCCTAGCTGCACCAGCTTCTCGACAAAAGCTCCATATTTGTCTGTTTTGTTGTTATTATAACTGTTAATTAGATTCGACTTCTGAGCTGCATTAGCTTAGGTATGGCCTTTCGTATATAATTCCAATATATCTTCCAAGATATATTGTTTCTATATTTCATCTCCGTGATTTCTTTCTTTCTTTTATATACACTACAGTTCAAAATCTTGAAGTTCTCCAACAATTAGCATGGGATGTACTTGACAGAAGAGTCAAAAAGAATAGAAAAAGAGCTCTTAGAATCATTAAAAAAAAGAATGGGATCAATTATCAAACTTAAGACTTTCCTGCGGGTAAGCTTTATAGTTTAAATCAAAGAAAAATTTCATTTTAAGTATGTTACCCGATTGTATCTTATTGTTCAGATTTACAAGTAGATTGCCACTGTTCGAGAATTTGTAATAATTTTCTTTTATTTAAAGTACAAAACAATTACTTTTTGTGTCAATTTTTTTAAAAATTCTTAGGGGTTTCTTTAAACTTTTAAACTGTAGCTTGCATACTAAGATTTCGAAAAGGATGGATAGAGCTTTTGACAAAGCATTTAGTTTCTTGAGAACAATCTTTCGCTACGTGATCTGGGTCTTTTTTTTTTACCGCATTTTCCACATACCGGATGCCCTCTCTACATCCCTCCTTGTAATGCCCCTACTTATTTCATCTGAAACACCATAAGGATTAGGGATAAATTGTTCAACTTTTTCAACTGTAAACCCAATTTTTATTCCTTTTGGGATCGTGGGTTTATTAAAAGTTAAAATATATATGTCTATTGTATATATGTCTTTGTGTTTGTTGATCGTCCATTTTCATGATTATTGTTCTACTAGCAGTATAACCTGTCTTCGACGGGGTCTTTCATTACTGGGAATTTTTGCCGTTTAATTGGAGCAGTTTAAGTTTAAAGTCAGCCCACCCGAAAATCAATATTAGTAACATTTGCGTTTTGCGTTCTCTTCCATGTACCGTCATAATAATGATATACGATAATTTTTATTTATAATATACATTTTTTTTTAAATTCTAATAATTTTTTGCGTTAGATTTCAACTGTTTTTTACAAATATTAAATTTTGCCTTTGATTTTTGCGCAAAGTGTATGTTATGGTCCAGGTTAGGACCAAGGAAGAACAACACGGACACAAGAGTAGAAATAACGAAGGTATATTACACTAATAATAATAATACAAGATGTTGGAGGTGTTAGTATGACTGTCAGTCTGGTTTGGAGTGAACTACTATCGGCTCGACTCGATTCGATATTTACTTTCCCCCCACCATGAGGGAGAGATGTGGCACAAGGCCGAGTTTTACGTGGGTTTTCCGAGCCGGTAGGCTCGGCCAAAACATGCCCGTAGAAACTGTAAAAACAGAATCGGGTTGGTCAACCTCCCCGAACGAGACTCTGCCCTTCGGCGGAACCTCGTCCGGGTTCCTCTCTGCTCAGAGGCAGAGAGTTCGACCATCAAGCCGAAAAGCTCGGCTTGATTCGATATCTAGCCACCCCGCCACGAGGGTTGCATGTGGCACAAGGTAGAGTTTAATGTGGGTTTCCCGAGCCCGTAGACTCGGCCAAAAAATGCCCTTACAAGCCGTATAAACGGGATCGGGTTGGTCAACCTCCCCGAATGAGACTCTGCCCTTCGGCGGAACCTCGTCCGGGTTCCTCTCTGCTCAGAGGCAGAGAGTTCGACTGGCCGATTCGACCCTCTCTCTTGAGAGGCGTAGTATACATAGTGTTAGGAAGAGTTCATTCTGTAGTTATAGGACCCATGACAGTGTAAAAAATCAGTTTTTCCGATTTTTCACCTTCAAGGTTGTAATTTTTTCCAGCCAATTTGAACTCAAAACTGGCTCTGAAGAATTATCTATCAAACAAAAAAAATTTCATCGAAATTGATGAAAACTGTGGAAACGTATAAACAACATCCGATCACAAACACACGTACATACACACATTTTGAGAATTATAGATATAGGTAGTTGGTGTCTTCTTGCTTTCCTAAGATTGCATTTATTACCTCTGGTT